CTGCTGTAATTCTAGTTCTGTGCAGGTAGTACAATTTATGCCTTCCTCAGTTTCTCTGTTGAAATGCAGACTCTGCCTGTGTACACTCTGGGGGCAAAGTGTGTCCTCAGATGTTCTTAGTAATGCCTTTCCGTCCTTTTTGTGTCATTGTTTTTTTTTGCATATTGAGAGGTATTGATTTTATAATATTTTTCTCCAAACTCAGAAAACATTTGTGTTAATTTTAAAGGTTTTCCTCTCACTCTCCCAATTTTGTCTTTGATATGCCCTTTTGTTAGATTTGTATATATATAAAGAATATACGTGTGTGATTTTTTGTAGGATTAATAGTAAAATATTATCAATGAATTCACTACCTAATCCTAAACTAGAACATTGTCGGTAACTTATATCTGTGCTTTGTTCTTTCTCTGCCCTCCTATCTGTTCATCTGTCTTCATGTTCTTGCTTAAAAAAAAAATTCTATTCAGCAGTAAAGAAAGATGAAATAATGAAATTTGTTAGGTAAATGGATGGATCTAGAAACTGTTACACTAAGTGAAGTAACACAGACTCAGAAAAATGACATATATTCTCTCTCATATGTGGATCCTAGCACCAAATCCTTTTTAATTCCATGTCCTTTTAATAAGATGATGCTGTACAGCAGTCCCTTTTGCATGAAATAACTGCCGTCATCATGACTTCAGCTGTGCCTGATCGCTAAACATAGTCACAATTGGGCTTGTTGACAGTTGTGCTCATTCATTAAAGGAAAGCCAAGCAGAGTCATTGGACCCTCACCAGAGTATCCATCCACTCTTCCCAGCCAACTGTATGTAATTTGGCCCTAATCTTACACATGGTCTCCTGGATTTTGTTAGGGCTAAAGTATACAATCTGGGGAAGGCTAGGAAGAGAAGGTCTGACCCATGCTGGGTAAAGGCTTTCCAGTGTGCATACCCTCAGGTCATATATATACCTCAGCAACCCCTCAGTTATCTCAAAGCCTTTGAGAGGGATCTGACACTAATTCTAATCATTCTAACGCTATCAAAATACCTGAAAGCAAATCCTGAATCCATCACTCTTGAGTCCAGCCTTGGCAGACAAAAGAAGAATGAGGAGGGACCCAACGGAGGGATGATTTCGGAAGCCCTTGTCAAGAAATTCTAATGGACTCTCATGAACATTTGAAAATTGCCCTGTTTGGACTTTTTTCTAGTTCCCTGTCTAGAACTTGTAGTGCTAATTACTCTTGCCTTTACTTCTCCTTCACAAAAAAAAAAAAGAAGAAAGAAGAAAAAAGGAGTTATGCTATTTGGGAGTCTTTTGGATAGACCCACTGAAGAAGTACCCCAATTTCCTCACCCTGCATCCCTCTTCAGTATGGAAGAAGCCAGAGCGGTCTATATCCTGATTCCCTATCTGCAAGTAGGGTAACCTCTTCAGAAGATGGTATGATAAGCTAGGAGGTAGGAATTGGCTAGGCAGTTAGGCTAAAAAGACCCCGAAGAAAAGTAGCTAGTTCTTGGCTAAAAGTCACAATGTCCTTGGGTCTTTTACCAACATATGCCATTCCAAAGGCCAAAAATGTTGAAAGTGTTTGGGAGCTTTTATCTAATCCTTAAAACATTTTAGGGTTACCTCTTCAGCGGGGGAATGTTAGAGTAGTAAAAAGCCCCATTTAAAAAAAAAAAAGGAGTATATGAAGTTATCAGAAAAAAATGATGGGGAGATATGGGAGGAGTTGAAGGGGGAGGGAGTGGGCATCAATTTGATCAAAACACCTTATATGCATGTATGAAATTCTCAATTTATTTTTTAAAATATTCATCTGTATCTCCATCCATGTATTCTATTGGTACTTTTATCTGGAGAACCTGACAAACCATATGACCCAGTGTTTGAACTTTTCTTGGGAAGGCACAAACAAATGTTGGCTCATCCCAGATAAGGTACCAGTGACAGACCAAAGAAAAGGTTCCACCAAAGTCAAGCCTGGTGAGCCTAGTGAGTTTATGGGTGTACTTATAGCATGGGTGAGGGGTTACTTACAGCAGTGTAGGTGACCCCAAAGCAGCCATACCACCAGGAAGTCTTTACTCCAGCATGGATGATGATATCCCTGAAACTCTCACACATGTACCCTTCCACCCCCATCACTTAACCTTGTTACTCTGTTAGCCCCAAGACCTCATTTAAGTGGGGCAGAATTCCACACAATTGGCACGGCAGCACAAGAGGGAGTGGCAGAGATCTTGAGGTGAGGCTCTAATGACCCTCTCCACCCCTCTTCGAACAAGGAAGGTCGACAGACAGGATCTTGGAAGTCTTTTCCATGTAGTTACAGATGCTTGATGAAGATGGTGTGGTTGCTATGCTCAGAGGACTGCATTCTCCAGCCCCCAGCGTTTCCCTTCCTACCCAAGAAAAATGAAAGTGTGCACAGGAAAACCTGAGCACAAATGTGCATGTAGCATTTTCATAATAACCCAAAGTGATCACAGCCCATCAACTGATGAGTGGATATGTGTGATGTGTATGTATGATGGAAATTAATTACATGTGTACATGGATGAAGCTTGTAGTTAATATGGTGAATCTAATGGTATATGTGTCTAACTATATCTTCTGTTGGTTCTATTTTTCTGGGGCCCTGACTAATACAGCATCTGACCAGCAGGTCCACTCATATACATATGTAGAGAGATATGCTTATATATTATCCATATATGTATATATATATGTGTGTGTACAATCTATGTATAGAAATATATCATTGTCCAGCTATCTATCTATCTGTATAGAGAAGTGGGGGAGAGATTGAGATTCACTTTAAGGAACTGGCTTACTTGGCTGACAACTCTGAAATTGTAGGGCAGGCAAACAGGCTGGGAACTCAGCAAGTGTGGAAGTTGCAGTCTAAAGTCTCTAGGGAAGACTGATGGGCTGGAGCCTTCTTTGGGAGTTCTGTTACCACTTGAACATGGAATTCCTGAGCATGGAATTTTGAGAAACCTTAGACTTTTGCTTATAAGGCCTTCAACTGATTGGATGAAGACCACTCACATTTTTAAGGTAATCTACTTCACTTAAAGTCAACTAATTGTAATGTTAACAGTGTCTTCAAAATACCTTCACAAAAATATCTAAACTAGTACTTGACTAAACAGCTATGCACTACAGCTATGTCAGCTTGACTCATCCCATATGTTAGTTCTGTGGTTAACCTATCAAGGAACTCCCAGCCCATTTTCCCAAAGTCCCTGCACAGTTTCACATGCCCATCAGTGACATATGAGGGTTCAGATTTTCCTGCCTCCTCACCAACACTTGTTAATGCATATCTGTCTTTCCTCTTATTACCATCCTGGTATGAAGTAGTGTCTCCTTGTGGGGATTTACTTTTTTAAAATATTTTTTATTATTTTTATTTTTATATTTTAGTATTTATTATTTTCATTCTCTGCATGTATGTGAGTGCACCCGTGTCGTGCAGTGCTGTAGAGGTCAGAAGAGGGCTTCAGATTCCTCTGGAACTGGAATTAAGGACAGTTCGTAGCTGCCATATGGGTGCTAGGAATTGAACCCAGGTCCTCTGCAAGAGCAATCAGTGCTCTTAACCGCTGAGCCATCTCTCCAGCCCCCGGGGATTTACTGTTTAATTCAGTCCCAAGTCTCTGAGATTCATCTGCATTATTATGTATTGCCTTTCCCCATTTTCACTGTGGCATCATAGCCTCTGGTATTAAGGAACTACAGTTTAGTCATTCCTTGTTCTGTTGATGAATAATTGAGTTGTTTCCAGGTTTTTGCTCTCGTGTACAGAATTTTCTTGTACATGTCTTCTGACATACATGTGCAAGAGTTTCTCTAGGGACTATGTATAGATCAGGGTGTGGTGTGGCTGGTCTGTAGGGTTACCAGACTCAAGTTTATCAGATGATGCCAGCACATCCCGAAATGTCCATCACAGTTTGTGTTCCCGGCAGTAGTAAGGCTGTTTCTGTCAGTCGACTTTTCCCCACTGTTACCAGACTCTTTTACCAGTTTCATTGGTTTTTCAATTTGCATTTTCCTGAAGGTTGGACATGTTTTTAGACATTTGTTAGTCATGATCACTTTCATAAAATGCTTATCTTTTTGTGTGTTGCCTATTTAAAAAATTATTTGTCTTGATACATGCAAACTATATAGTCTAGATAGTGATCTTTTTGCAGTTCAGTTATTATGTTATAGAAATCTAGGTTTTTTTTTTCACTTACTGTGTTTTTTAATGAATCGAAGTTGTTTTAATTTCACTTGTCAGTAATGCTACAGTTTATATACTCCTTGTATTTGTATTTATTTTTTCTTGTAGTTAAAATACAACAAAGCTATGCTTACTTAACCACCCTTGTTTGCTTGTCTGTTTTGTTTACTGAGACAATCTCACTATAGCCCAGGCTGACCTCAAATGGGCCTCCAGCCCCTCAGTCTGCCCTAGAGATTTCAGACACAAGACCATAGATGATCCTCCTGCCTCAGCCTATAGGCGTGTGCCTCCTCCCCACCCGCCTGGTACTGGGGATCTAACCGAGGCCCTTGTGTATGATAGGCACCTGTTTGGCCACTGCACTGCACCCCCCAGTCTGGCCACCTTATTCCCTTGTTCTTCAAATACTTTGCTTTTCAAACTCCATAGGAATTGTTACTATGTGTGTACTATACTTTTAATATTTTAAACATGTCAAAGAGTGGTAAAGATTGGAAAAATCATCATAAAGTCATTTATACATAAGGCCTGTGTCTTCTAGGGAAAAAAAATTGCCTTTTTAAGTGTGGTGAACTACCCTGCACTCAGCCGATGGTAAAGAACACACAACAGTTTCAGTTCTGCTGACAGCATCTCAGTCCTTCTACAAAATGCTTGCATTAATGAGGAAACAGAGCACAGAATTAAAGAGCCTCTTATAAGTCATGAGGCACAAAAAGAAATGCTGAAAATGGGTTATTTAAATTTTGTTTTATCCCAATAGGAAGAGGACCACCTAGCCCGGGTGGAAGAGGCAATCACCCGCATGCTCGTGTGCGCACTGAAAACTGCAGAGGATCCGCACAACACCAGAGCCTGGTTGAACCCCACTGAGGTAGGCTGGTCTGGGTGTCCTCCTGGTTCTTGGTTCCCAGTACTGAATCCTCACTGGATAGAGCATTTGTTTTCCACTTTAACCAAATGCATGTGACTATTCTAAAGGGTTTCTTTTTCCTCAGGTTGAGGAAACATCCCATGAAGTCAACTGTTGCTATTTAAATGGCGCTGTTTCTGCCTTTTTTGATCACTGTGGAACATCTAAAGTAGTAGAAATTCAAGCACTGAGAACAAATGGGGAAAACATGAAAAAGGAAGAGTTAAGTGTGTGCAGGCACATGGAGGTGGAACACAGTGTAACCACCGGAACTGGAAAACAGGAGGCTGCAAGTCCCTTTGGCCCTGATCTGGTCCCTGTGGCACCAGCCTTTGAAGACCCACCTTCAGAGAGAAGAGGCACAGAGAGTGATGGCAACAGGGACAGAGAACCGTCTGCAAAACTGCACTGTGCTGAAAGGCAGTGTGTGAAGGGCAAAGACCAGAGTGCAGGGGTGGAGCAGGTGGCCTCAAGCCGCCCTGGGGCCCCTTCTCGAGCATTCGTTTCTACAGATGACTTGCTGGACTGCTTGGTGAATCCACAAGTAACCAGGATGGTCGCACAGCTTTTGATACAGGGAAAAAGTTTGTGATCCTAATAGATTGTTTTTAACTGTCATTTAAAAATATTTTTTAAAATAATGTGACTTGTTCAGTTTTTTTTAATTTATTCTTTGAGAATTTCATACATTACACAAGCTGTTTTAATCATATCCACCCCTACTCCCCACCCCCAACTCCTCCCAGATCCCCCACATTCCCTTCCAAACTTCATGTCCTCTTTTTCTTTTCTTTTCAACCCAGTGAGTCCAGTTACTGCTGCCCATATGCACATAGGTGTGGTGCTCACATCCCAAATGGGCAGCACTGATTGGACCCAGTTGGTGGCTGGTCAGCCTCCTGGGCGCTATACACCTGAAGAAAACTGACTCTACTTCCACAAGTAATCAGCTGTCAGTAGCTCTTCAGCTGGGGGTGGGAGTGCCCATGCCCCTCCCCCACCCCTGCTGGAATGTTGGCTTGATCTTGCACAAGCAAACAGCTGCTGTGAGTTCATGAGTGCAAAGGTTCTGTCATGTCCAGGAGACACTCTTTTGCCTTAATCCTCCCCAACCTCTGGCTCTTACAATCCTGTGACCCCTCTTCTGTGCTATTCCCTGAGCCCTGAGGAGAGGGTGTGTGGCATAGATGTCCCCTTTGTGGCTGAGCACTCCACAGACACATATTATGTACAGTTTGAACAATTGTGAGTCTATATTCTGTCCACTGCACAAAGAAGTTTCTCTAATGTGGATTGTGCTGGATAGCGTCAGTTGTCAACTTGACACACCTGGAAAAAGGGAACTTCAATTGGGGAATTTCCTCCATAGAACGGGCCTGTGGGCATGCCTGTGAAGCATTTTCTTGATTGTTGAGTCATGTGGGAGGACCCAGCCCACTGTGGGTGGTGCCACCTCTGGGCAGGTGGTGCCACTTCTTGGTCCTGGGTTCTATAAGAAAGCAGATTGAGCTCAGGCCAGGGGATCAAGCCAGTAAGCAGCTTTCCTCTCTGGTCTGTGCTTCAGTTCCTGCCCCCAGGTTCCTGCCCTGCTTAAGCCCCTGCCTTGACTCCTCTCAGTGATGGTCTGACCCTTGGAACAACTTGCTTTTGGTCAGTGTTTTATCACAGCAGTGGAAACCAAACCAGAACATGGCCTGAGAGAGTCCTGATCTAGAGACAATCACACAGAAGGCAATTTACTACAATGTCCATTTAGCAAAACAGCAGTATTAGGTTCACCCCTAGAGCCTATGAGCTCTCCAGTCACAGGTTCTTGACCACGTTTACAGTACCATGCTTATTTGGTTTTGAGACAGGATTTTGCTATACACCTCAGACTGACCTTGAATCTAAGATTCTCTTGCCTCAGCCTCCGAAGGGCTAGGATTACACATGTACACTACTAAGCCTGGCTTTAAATAGTATGATTTTAAACTAAAAGAGGGAAGAGCAGAAGTGAATTTGTACATGTTTGTAAATGTGCTCATCCTAATAAAATTTCCCTCTGTGGTCACCTGTTTTCAGCCAGCTTGCTCTTTGCCCAAATTGGCCTCTTTCATCTGTGAACCTCCTTTCCTCAGTCCTTTGCTTTTCCTCTGCCATCCAGTCCTTTGAGCTCTCAGTGTCACCATCAGGAAGTAGTCTCTCCATCAGCTTCAACCAACCAAAGACTGGTTGCTCTTGTACATTTTTACTGGAACGCTCCCACGCCATTTGTTTCCCATTGTCTATGGAAGGTTTACGATTACAGGAGCAATGTTGAGTAGTCATGGAGACTGCATGATTTAGAAAGCAAACTCAGTGTACTCTCTGTCCCTTTACTGAAAAAACATAGCACTGAAGGGCATCCAATCTCTAGGAGAGGACTAGATCAGAGCCCGGCTGTGCTGGTCCACCCTCCAGTCTCAGCACTTTGCTTCCTGGTTATTGCTAACAGTGGGTTGATCTGAGGCCTCCTGAAGAACAACCCTGCACTGGCCTGTGTATATTTCCTTATTTGATTACTGTCCATCTTCCCCAGTTAGCATGTAACTCAATGAGGGTTGGGTTTTTATGTGATTGATGTTTTATTCCCAGAGCTTTGGCCAGTGCTCAGCACATAAACATTTATTAAATATTTGACTAGACAGACAGACTGTTGGCAGTATTCCATCAAATGCATTGTGGCCTTTTAGTAGATATGTTTCCATAATAGAGATAGAGGTATCTTTTTCTTCAGATATTTTTGTGTTATACATGTGTCAGAAAATTAATTTTAGTGGGTGAAATCTGCATGGAATAGGATGTAAAGTTGTGAGGTGTTTCACCAGAGAAGACTACTGGCCAGCAACTACACAAGGGTGTTGGAACCCAAGTACAGTGCCCTGTTGGTGTTAGGGTAGGCTTTTATACAGGAAAACTATATCATGGTGAGAAGTTTAATTTTCCAAGTGTTTCCATGGCTTAGGGGTGGAAAGCCCCCTAACAATTCCTATTTTGCAAAAGAAAGCCATGCATATAGTATAGAAGCCATAAATCTGCGGTTAGAAGGAGTGACTAGAACATGCTGACCTATTCTCATGGCAACTAATGGCCTGCTGACCTACTTGCAGCTGAGCTGCACCCCTCTGCTCCCATACCCTGGGAAACCTTTTAGTTTCAGAGGCTAGACTCAGCCTAGACTTCAATATGACATAACTATGGTCAAGAAGGTGCCTTATCACAAAGTATTAGATAACTTCAAAATTACAGTATTCAGTATCATAATTTCAGTAAGTTGCAGTGTACTTTACAACTGCATTGTTACAAACATGAATTCTATCAAAGTTGGATTATACGTTCCCTTCTGATTTTAAAGGAAACTAAAATGTTTTTTTGTCTTAGCTTCAAATGTGAACATTATTTTATGAAACTTTTCAGGAAAATGTCCAGGTAAGCTTATTTATCATAGGCATTTCAGTTTTTCTGCACATGTATAAGCCTGATATAAAATGTACTGATTGTAGGACAACTGGGGCTACAGGGAGACCCTGTCTCAAAAAGACCAAAAAAAAAAAAAAAATTACTGCTTATAAGCTGGAGTCAGAAAACTGAAAGCTCTAAATCGAGAAAGTCTTTTGTTCAGTTAAAAAAAAAATAGTCTGTGTTGTTCAAAGAACTGAAGAGAGTTCAGACATTGGGAAAGGGGGATGATGAGAGATGATCCCCTGATTTTATCAAGATAGAGACTATGAGGTCCTGGCTATTTGCAAAGGGGTATTAGAAGGATGAGTTCAGTGAGAGCCACCATGAGCTGGTTTCCATGCCATCCTGCATCTCACGGAGGAATACGTGTAAGGGCATGGAATCATGCACTTTGACTCTCCAGAGGCCAAGACAGTTAGATGATACAAGCAGGCATGTTAGCTGTCATGTGGATGCTGAGAACCAAGCCCAGTGCTCTTAACCACAGAGACGTTTCTCCAGCCTCAAGCCAGTTGTCCATAACTCCAGTTCCAGGGGAATCCATTGCCTTCTTTTGACCTCTGCAGACATTGCATGACACAGATGTGTTTATATACATATACACTCATACACATAAAATAAAAAAACAAAATAACAAAAATAATAAAATGTTTTTAAAAAGAATACAAGCACAGAGGGCTGGAGAGATGGCTCAGCAGTTAAGAGCCCTGGCAGCTCTTGCAGACCTGGGTTTAGTTCCCAGCACCCACAGGGCTGCTAACAACATCTGTAACTCCAATTCCAGGGGACCCAATGTCCTCTTCCAGCCTCCGAGGGCATTGCACCCATGTGGTGCACTTATATACATTCAGGCAAACACTCATACACATAAAATACATAAAATTTTTATTTAAATTAGTTTACCTTTATGTATATGAGTGTATTGCCTGTGTGTATATAAATGCACCCACGTCATGCAATGCCCGCCGAGGTCAGAAGACGGCATCAGATCCCCTGGAACTAGAGTTTCAGTTGGTTGTTAGCCTCTTTGTTGGTGCTGGGATTCAAACCTGGGTCCTCTGCAAGAGCAGCTAGTGCTCTTAAACACTGCACTATCTCTCCAGCCCCAAATACATATAATTTTTTTTTTGTCTTTTTGAGACAGGGTCTCCCTGTAGCCCCAGCTGGCCTGGATTCGCTATGTAGACCAGGCTGGCCTTGAACTCCCAGAGATCCGCCTGCCTCTGCCTCCCAAGTGCTGGGATCAAAGGCATGTGCCACCATGCCCAGCCTACACATAATTCTTTTAAAGAAAGAATTCAAGCCTAGCCCATATGAATGGCACAGGACCAAGGTATAAGTCAGAAAGGCCAACATACCCACTTGTTTTTCAGTAGGCATGGTGGCTAGGGCTCATAGTGCTTTTAGAGTCCCACCAAAATGTTTTCATATTTTTGTTTTTTTTTAATTTTATTTATTTATTTTTTATGTGTATGAGTGTATTGCCTGCATGTATGTGAGAGCACCCATGTCATACAGTGCCTCAGAGGTCAGAAGAGGGCTTCGGATTCCCCTGGAACTGGAGTTAAGGACGATTCGTAGCCATCAGTGAGTGCTGGGAATCGAACCCAGGTCCTCTGCAAGAGCAGTCAGTGCTCTTAACCACTGAGCTATCTCTCCATCCCCTATTTTTTGTTTTTAAATCAGGAAATAATGTAATCCAGCCTTGATGGCATTTATGTTTATAACAATGCAGTTGTGGAGCTAAATTTTTAACATTGTTTATGCACTAAGGGCCCACAAAGGCAGAAGTACCTGGGTCCAGAAAGTCCTGATGTGGCCCTGGGTGTTGGGCTATCAGGACCTTCGAGGTGTTCATTGGAAATGCAGATTCCTAGGTACCACTCAAGCTGCAGGCTCTCTGACTCCAGTGGAATGACACCAGAACTTGAAGTTCTAGCAAGCGCCTCAGGTGATTAAAGCTGTTGGGGCTCACCATGGGCTCAGAGTGGGCTCATTTTAGCAGGGACTACTTGCTGGAGACAAATGTGTTAAACCTTTCCTGTATTGTGTCCTTCTGTACTTTCCAATTGAATGTTAGTACCCTGAGGATCCCTTGATGCTGTCGTGTTTGGTTGCAGTTTTTTATCAGTGGTGGCCACTGTTTGGCATTGAGCTAGCTCATATTTGCCCTTAGGAGAAAACTGATTTTACCAAGAGACAGTTTTCAAGGAACTATACTAGGAAATGAAGAAATGATACATTTGACATATTTTTAGATTGAGCATAACTGTAACATATGCTGCTGGGTCACCAGTCTTCAGTGTGACAATTCACCTGGTCCTGAGTTAACAAAAGCAGAGGAGAGCAGGCCTCTCATTTCATTCCACCTCCTTGCACCATGGTTAGTGCTGAGTTTGGTTGCCAATGCTGAGGAAGTGCAGACTTGGCCAGTCCACTTAGAAACAAAGAGCAGAAACAGAAGTTTCATGATCTCTGTGTCAATGAAGAGGCAGGCAGGGGTAACCTCCTTGTCCTCCTCCACTTGAAGTTCAGTGGTGTTCCCCATGGCAGGGACACGTGCCTTTACCCTCCTGGCGCCCCCTAACACCTGAGTGTGCCATCTGTACTTGCTCCACATCAGCACTGACTTCTTAGCCCATAGAACTCATAATGAAGAGAGGCAATGGACACATCCAATCCAGACAGAAAAAGCCAAGGAAATACAGCAGTGTTTCACAGCACTTAGTTCAAGGCCAGGGTCTGTAGGAAGAGCAGAGGGCTCAACATCAAGGCACCAAGTTGCTGGGTCTGAGGGTTCAGCCTAGGTGGCCTCAGGCAAGGAAGCTTCCTGTACTCTGAGTATGTTCCTTTGAAATGGTGAATGATTCTTACTTCACAGGTCTGTTCATGGGGACAAAATAATGTATGTGGAAGCACCTCTACTACCTGGCACAATCTAGTGCTCAACAGATAGCATTTGAACCTGAAATCTACAGGATAAAGCTTTAAAAAAGAATAATTTAAGTCAGGCCTGGTGGCACAGGCCTCCAACAAGGAAGAAGCAGGAAGATCTCAAGTTCAAGGCAGGCCTACCTGGGCTACAGGGTGAGATCAAAGCCAGCCTCGACAACTTGGTAAGACCTGGTCTCCTGGACTCATAAGTAAAAAGTGGTCTGGGGATATATCTCAGTGGTAGAGAATGTGCCTGGCATGTGTGAGGCTATGATTTGAGTCTTCAATGTAAAAAAATATATAAATAAATAAATAAATAAAGCCCAAGAACAAAACAAAAAACTTTACCATCCAGTAGAAACTAAGTTAGCAATATGACTAATTGGTTTATTTATACGCAAAGCTTTAAAATTGTCACAAACTAGGCTTCCAAGGAAGTATGCTAGTTAATGCCCTTAGAGTTAATTTTCACACAGTGAAAGGGTTTCCACTGAAGATGTACTGGGCATCCTCCCATTGATTTCACTGGGCAGTGGATAGACTGGAGCCAACATTCAGTAGGACCTCTGGCCATTGGAGTCAGGGCTTTTGAGCTACACAGCTCCATGGGGCTCAGTTCACACAGATTTGCACAAGCCACATCCCCAGCACCCAGTTTGTACAGGGTGCAAGGGCACTGGGGTCTTTGTGAGGACTGAAGTTCCCTATAAGGAAATCTGTTCAGTTGGAAGCCAGGAAAGTAGCAGCTCTGCTGGCTCAGAGGAACTGTGTGTCCCCACAGCTGTGGCACTTTGACATGGTTCCGGAGCCTCCTTCCACAGTGGTAGCTGGAACCACATGGCTGTGCCCTTACTGTTATTCTCTCCCTCCTGAAAAATATAAGCCTGTTCTTTTTCCACAGATTTGATGTCCACACTAGTGAATGTAGTTATAACTGTAATCTGATATAAATCCTCACATTGATTTGTTTTCAAGTAGATTCATTTCCATTATGGAAGCAAAGCAGAGGAAATTGATGTCAGTGGCAATGAAAGATCTTGTGATCTTAGCAAAAGCTTAAGAAGAAACACAGCTAAAACTTTCCTTACAACAGATACATGTAAATGTATTAATAATGTCTTTGGGGAAGGGACCTAAAAATGTTATCATCTAAAAGTGATCAGGTACTCTGGGTATGCTTGGTAGTCATAAAACACTACAAATATACTTGGGTTGTGATCATTGTCTACAACAGTGTCATACAGGTCAGTAGGGTTTTGAGGGTCCCTTGAAGGAGGCACAATTAATGATGAATTTCCAATTGTGTAGTTTCCAGTGAGTACCCGCACATAGTACATATGCTTTCTCCCATTGGCATCTGGTCTGGAGTACGTGTTGTTGGCAGAATAAGAAGCATTGACAGCAAAATAGGTTCCCTTCCCATAACACACAGCTGTGAAGGGAAAAACAACATTTTAGTGAACTTCAATGTAGCACATAAATTGACATATTAGCCCAGTATGTCAAATAATGGAGTGCTCAGTTTAAATATATTGTGGAGGGCTGGAGAGGTGGTTCAGAGGTTAGGAGCACTGGTTTCTCTTGCAGAGGACCTGGGTTAGGTTCCAGCACCCACACGGTGGCTAACAACTGTCTGTAACTCCAGGTCCAAGGGATCTTCTGGCCTCTGTGGGCATTGCATGACACTGGTGCCCTTACATGCATGCAGGCAAAACACTCATACACATAAAATAAAAATTAATAAATAGAAAAAGTTGGGCTACAGTCTGGCCAGGAATAATAGGGGAGCACAGAGAACGAATGGAATGCCCAGAGTGGGTTCTCCTGACTGACAACCAAGTGTAGCAGCTGACTGTGCCACATCCTTACCGTTCTTCCCAGCGTAGCTGCGGTTAAATCCGTGTCTGTTGACGTGCGGCACAGAGCCAGCATCTGTCCCATGGAAGAGTTGCTTCTCATTTATTTTCTGACTGTTCTTGTCATCCATGGTCTTTTTCTTTGCCTGGTAGCTATTCCAGAGATGTGGATTCTGGATCCTTTCAATCTATAAATTAAAAAAGAAAAATATTCTGCCAGTGCCAAGAACATTTGGCAAGTGATAGCAAAAAAAACTTGATCACTGTCTTTCATAAATAATAGTTATACTCAGGAGCAAATTCAGCACTGGATGTCAGCTTCCTACCTTCAGATATCTATCTTTTTAGGGGTGGTAAGACAGCTCAGTAATGAACAGCCTTGCCACACAAGCCTGGTGACCTGAGTTCAATTTCCAGAACCCACATAAAAGTAGGAGAGAACTGACTACACAAAGTTGTCCCCTGACTTCCACGTGTCTCCTCATCCCTGCCCTGTGTACATATGGGCACATGAACACACACACACACACACACACCCCTACCTTTTCAGATTGAATGTTTACTAAAAAGCATTGGGGCAAATGTCAGTTTAATTTTTAGCATCATTTGTGTACCAATGAGGGAAAACCGTGTAGGAGTTAAGTACTCATATGAACTCTCAGTCTCTCCAATGTCTACTTTCTAAATGCATGCCAGTGACTGTTCCTGTTTCTGTCTACCTTACTTTGTCACTCTGTCTTTTGGCACCCAAGTCCTCCTAGGATACTTGTTGGGCTACCCATGTTCTAACAGCGGGAAGGCATTAGGTCCTGTTGGAAGAGTGGGACATGAATCCTGATGGAAGGGACTCTGGTTGTAGACTAAAGTAGCCATACCTTGACCTGAGTGGCCTCTGGGGTTGTTGAAACTCTTTGGCCCTGGATTACCGTTCAGCTGTATGTGTATGTTATGTGTGTGTGCAGGTGCATATGTGTGTGTGTGCATGTGAGGCCAGAGGTCAACCTCAGTTATTGTTCTCAGGCACTAGTCACCCTGTTTTTGAAACAAGGTCTGTCACCAGCTTGGAACTCACCAAGTAGTCTAGGCTGGCTGTCCAGGGAGCTCCAGGGATATGCCTGTCTCTGCCTCCCCAGTGCTGAGATTACAAGCACACACCACCACACCTGGCTTTTTAACATGGATTGTGGGGCTTGGACTCAGGTTCTTCTTGCTTGCCATGTAACTGACCTGTGTTGCCAGCCAGTCCCCAGAACAGCTTTTAGACTCTAATCACCAAGTAGTGATTTTAACTACTCATGGTATAACACCACGCTCAGCTTAGGGGAAAAACTGTTTCTTAGTAACAACAACAAAAAGAAGCCCTTGAGACTTAAGAAATTTTCAGACAAAACCTGAAGTGAATTCACTACTACTACAAGACTTTATCCCAGAGTGACATGGGAATGCATGGAAGTACAGTGGGTGGAATGGGTAGATATGTCTGTCAATGTTAAGAGCACCACAAAGTCAGAAGGGGGCTAGAAGGAGGCTCAAAGTGCACAAAAGTCATTGCATTGTCTAGGAAATGATAAATATCCTCCCTTAGACTTGAGCTTAATCAGGTAAATTACACATTGTAATTTCTAGAGTAATCAACTAAACAATCTAGAAGGGGCAGAAAAAACAACAGAAATGTTTACTCCAAAGGAGGACAGGAAAGGAAGATAATGAGCAAAGAATTGAAATAATAACTAGAAAGCAAAGATGAATGTGGGATATTTAAGTCCAAGCGTATCAGTAAATACAGTAAGCCAATTAAGTATGCTAATTAAAAGATAAAAATTAAAAACTCAAGTATATACTGGGACCAGGGGACACACCCTAAATATATACTCATGAAAATGTTAAAAGAGTGGGAAAAGCTGGGAACTGGAAAGATGGCTCAGTGGCTAAGAGCACTTGCTGTCTTGCAGAGGACCTCAGTTTGGTTCTCAACACCTACACGGCAACTCACATCTGCCTATAACTCCAGTTACATAGGATCAGACACCCTCTTTGGGTCTCCACAGGCACTATAGGCATGTGAGGCACATGTATGCATGCAGGTAAAACACTCATACACAAAATAAAAATAAATATTTTTTTAAAAAAAGAATGGAGCCAGGCGTGGTGGCACACACCTTTAATCCCAGCACTTGGGAGGCAGAGGCAGGCGGATCTCTGTGAGTTCAAGGCCAGCCTGGTCTTCATAGTGAGTTCCAGGACAGCTGGGGCTACAGGGAGACCCTGTCTCAAAAAGACCAAATAAATAAATAAATAAATAAATAATAAATAAATAATAAAAAAAGAATGGAAAAAGACACAATATATTAATAATAACCAAAGAAAGCTGCATTGCTATTTCACTATTGCTAACAATTTTGGTAACCTAATTTTAAATTAATTTCATGTATACTAAGGATAAAACAGCATAAATATTAAATATAAGCTCTTAGGAAAAGGTATAATGTTAAATTTTAGTTGAAAGCATGAATATGAGCTCATGATTTTCTTAACTTCAGCCACGGAAAGAGTTGGAAGCACCAACCTCTCAGAGCAGTGAGCCCGGGCTCACAATCCCTTGGTCCTTACTGCCATTCCTCACTGCCGGGCAGCAGGGTCTCCTAGAGCTCGGGCTCAGGGCCTGGAACCGGTGAGGCATGCCAGTCCAGGGAGGGCTGCCAGTTCCACTGAGACAACCCTGCCACACTGTCTGACCAGACTGTCTGACCTCGACATCTCATCACAGTGCACCGTCAGCCACTACCTACTGTCACTGGTATTCGGAATGGCATTTCTGTGTTCTCAGAGTTAGACCATCAAAGAATTTATGGTGAAATGATGTTAAGGATACTCTCCAGGACTTGATCCAAAGGAGGAATCTCTCAAGAGATAATCTCAGTACTGTGAGAGCTGTGATTCTCCTCATCAAGTGCTTTGCTCTCTGTTCTGGACATTACCAGTCTAATGGCTGGCTGTTTACACCTTTGCTTTGTCTACTAGGAAGCTTGGGGACAAATGTACAACTGTGTAGTGTCCATGTTATGTGTTGCTGGGAACTTACCAAGCTTCTGTGTTGTCTTCTCCAGCTTTCCTCTTTATCTATTTATCTTCATGTATTTATTTCATTTAAAGGCATAATATATCTTTGCAGGCTATTTTAAATATTTTGGAATTACCATGTTTCCCTACATGGGAAAAAAAACCCAGCAGTGCAAACAAAGAGCAAGGGAAATTTTGCAAAGAAAGAAAATGCAGGTTTTATTGGTGAACTGGTTACCATGGATGAAAAGGAAGGTACTCGAAAAATCTCTGACTTTACTCAGAACGTGGCAGGCCAAGGACATGCGGAAATGGGGAAGGAAGGGAAAAGAGCATTAGAGAGGGTTTTGTTGTTTGTTTGTTTGTGGTAGGCCACTTGACTTCTGGGAATTCAAGTCAAAGATTCAGATTGGCAGTTGTCTCCCAATTGGCTAGTTCCTCTAAGGGGCAGGGCCTGCCGGGGAGTGTGGACTACTGAGGGGCTGCTGGGAACCACCTTGGAACAGAAGCCAAGAGCCCTAGGGAAGCGCACCATGTGGGGAACATGCAGCAGCTCAAGGACAGAATGGCCTGATATTTATGGCCCGGGGCGAGATCGCTGGCCCCTGAGGCATGAGCGAATGCTGTCTATCGGTGACTATGGCCGTGGTGCAGTCGATATGGTGGGCTCTGAGCCAGCCGCTGGAGGTGCGGGGCTAGGCACTGGGTACTCATTCCTCTGTTATTCCCTCTCCTCCCCCCATGATAATAATAAATGCACATAAAGATATGTTATGTGGTTTGCTTGATAGCGCAAGAGACCCAGAGGGAACTCGAGCAACAGCAATGCTGACTTAGGAGTATCAACACTGCAAACCCAGCAGACGTCAGAAAGGTAAAAAATGTTGCCTGGTGAGGTGCAGAGGCAGAAGACCATGGAAAACGTCCTGTGATAAGATGAGAATTTGGAATTTTGGAGGAGGAACAGATAAATCAGTGATAAGCAAAGTAAATTAGGTAAAGAAGAAAAAAGAATAAAAATATATTACCACTGAGATCAAGGAAAAACATAATCTCAAAGGGTAAAATTAATAATGTTAACACTAAAGATGCCAAAATAAATGAAACAAACAAAGGGCCATTGAATTTATCCAGGTAGTAATCACTATTGGAGACCAGGAGTCTGCGTGTCTCTCATGTTTGCTAGTGACAAAATCCAATTTGGAAGCCATATCTAAGTCCAATTTGGAAAGCATAATCTTTGAATTTTTATTAGCTTGCTTCACAAAGCAGGGTATTCTAACTTATTGCCATCTGAAATTATAATAACTAACACAAGAATCTTAATGTCTCAGTAATTGTGGCAACAAGAGTAAAATCTGTAGCTACCATTAAAGTTCTGATTCTGGGTAAAAAAATGTGATAGTAAGTGAATGTGGGTGTAGTTTTAAAAAGGTTTTAATCTTTAATTTTTTTTTTTTTTGAGACAAGGTCTCCCTTGTAGTTGCAGCTGGCTATGTAGACCAGACTGGCCTCAAACTCAAAGAAATTCACCTGCTTCTGCCTACCAAGTGGAGGGATCAAAGGCATGTGCCACCATGCCAGCTAATTTTAATTTTTAATTGTGTGTGTGTGTGTGTGTGTGTGTGTGTGTGTGTGTGTTCACACGAATGCAGTGCCCATGAAGGCCAGAAGAGATCATTAGATCCTCTGAAGCTGGAGTTACAGGAGTTGTAAGCTGCCTGATATGGGTGTTGGGAACTGAACCCAGGTCCTCTGTAAGAGCAGCAGGCACTCTTAACTGCTTAGCCATCTCTCCAGCCCCTAGAAGTATATTATTCTTAAGGAAAGGTGAAATTTGTTGTTTAGATGTGAATTTTTTTGTTCATACTTGTTGGAAAAACAATGCTGAGACAAATTTACAGCTTCTAGAAGAAAATGTTGCCATAACAAGTGGTCAAAATTTCCTAAAACAGAGTTGAAATAGTAGTCTGCCTGGACGGTTGCATAGGAACAGG